GTGGACCATCAGGATGCTGATGGGGTATATAGGTGACCTACTTGAGACGCCAGTAGGGTATTTTGTGAAATCCTTTGAATTATGTAATGCCGTTAAAAGAGTTATAAGCATTTCAATTACTCGGATTATACTTAGTATTTCCGTTAATAGATCTCCTTTTTGAAAATATTGATATCTTTCAATCATGATTATTTTTAGGATTATGATGATCACTTACTGAGTTGCCAAACTCATCAAACTATGGTAAACATATTTCAGGATAACTGCGGTTTCATTTGTGTCCTCGTCAAGATCAACTTTGGAAAGATATTGTAGTTTTGCTTAAACTTTATTTTGTTACTTTGTAAGACCTCGCCACTGTAAATTTGTCCTATCAATAGATGTATATATGTTTTGTCCGTCACATCTCAAGAATAATAGTATTGTAAATTCTTGGGGTGTGACACCACCTCTATACTTTGCCACAGGATTTAGTTCTGGTGTAGAAAACCTTACAATTGCTTGAAAATCTATGTTCAATCCTATAATTAAATTTAAAATTTCATAACCGTGCATATGAATCGAAACACTTGAAAAATCTTGAAAATAAATTATCTATATAACCTATTACAATATGCACTATTTTTTGGACTTGGATTTTTTTTCTTAATATTGATACATCTCAAGATTGAGATGACCAATTTTAACATTTTCCAACTTCAGAACACTCACTTCTACTAGATTTTTTATGTGCACATTACTTATATGGTATAAAGTTGCAATCTTATATAGACTTTTGTATGTAATAAAATCGAGTTGTGATAAAACAAAAGTATTTTTTATTTTCTAAATAACTATTCTATTTGTGACATGCAATAATATACAATTTTTCATATATTTAATTATTATTCTATTTTTTTATGAACTTATGAGATTGTAAATGAATTCTATCTTTCAGTAAAATTATAAAAATTCCTATTTATGACAATCACTTACTAAATAATTAAAGGAAATAACTCGTGAATTTTAGTTGCTTTATAACTAGCTACCGCCACTTTTACGATAATTGAAATGTGAGGAAATACGTGCATAGAGATTGAAAATATATTTAGTAGAAACTAGAAAGATAGCATGAAATTATAAACTAACTCATTATCAGAGGAATATATTAGGATCTTTCTAGGAAATAAGGTGTTCGATAATCTTAAAAGGAAATAGATGGTATAGGAATTCTAAACAAATTTTGAGTGTGATTTAAAAATAAAAAGTAGGAGCTAGAGATAAAGACACTTTGATTGAATGTGCATATGGATTGATACAAACAATGGAATGTGGTGAAATAGGTGATCTAGTATTCCTAAACTAAATTCATAGTATTAGGGACGATTTTAGGAAAATTAGAGGGAGAATATTATTAATAATGAAATATGAGCAAAAAGATGACTTGGTAATCTTAAAGTGCTCACGGCATCGTACAAATATATCAAGAAAATTAGAGGAAAAATAGTGCATAGAGTATTAAAAAATTACCAATGTATTTATTTAACCCAAGCGGTCGATTTATACATTGCGTCGTCACATCTTTCAAATGTGAAATCGGGCAGCTAGGGTTATGTCACGAAATTTAAAAGTAACTTAAATAGACTTTGTAGTACAGTTGACACACAAATTTCAAATGCGATCGAGAGTATTATGACCTTCTTGTATACTGCTTAGCTTCATCCCTCATATGTGAAATCGAGCACTTAGGGTCATGTTACAAAGTTCCAAAACAACTTTATTGGGTTTCAAGTTCAGTTGACACACGGCGAATCAAATGTGATTAAGATGATAGTGACATTCTTGTACCATAAAAATTTTTTTTGGGTAAATTGTAACATAAGTTAACAATTGTAATCCTTAACATGGCTTGAAAATTTATCTTCACCCATAATAATGAAATTTAAAGTTCAAAATATGATTCTTATCGAGCACATCTATAAACCTTGAGAATATTCAAAATGAACGATCCAAATAATATATTACAAGATGGACTATATTTAAGATTTAAAATAAATTTTTTTTCATGTTCATACATCTAGAAGTCAAGATGACAAATCAGGTGATTTTTTTAGCGTCCTAACAACTTGTTTCTATTAGCTTTTTGAGGGTTGCCTTACTTCTGTATAAAGTTAAGGCCTTATGTAAACTCTCTCCTTCCTATTACTGGTATTATTTTTTATAATTCAACTACATTTTTTATAATTCAACTGCACTATTACTTCTGTATAAAGTTAATGCCTTATGTAAACTCTCTCCTTCAAATTAATAACTACACTAACTAAACTCTGTATCATTGAATTCGTTTATATTTTATGGCTAGATCAATGGAGAAGGGGTCCGTTATCTATAGTAGGAATAGAATTCAAGACGTCATATTGTGGCACTTACTATCCTGACTACCTATGCCTTGAGTCATGCCCTTACTAAATCCACTTACCTGTGCCTTTAGTCCATTCCTTAGTAAATTTGTTTCATTAGGCCAAAGACGTTGAAATCTTCAAATTTTACGATCAAAACCGGATGCAAAGCTAATATAAAAATAAAAAGTTCTCCAATTTTGTAAGGAAAAAGTTTATATAAGGTTGCAACCAATGTGAGACATACAGACTGAGTCAAACCGGACCCTGCTGGGGTACCTAGGATCAGCCCATGGGTGGGTCCAATTAAGCCTGGTTTTGGTAGTGAAGTTCCCAAGTTTGAAAAAGTTCACATAAAAATTAAAAATCCAAAAAATAAGAAATTTATTTCAATATGGTTTATATGTTTTCTCCCTTTTTGACAAATATTGTAAAGTATTTTGGTTCTAAATACTCATTTTTACATTTTAACTTATTTTTTGGATTGTTTTTAAAAGGGTGGGATTTATATAGAGCCGATGCTCTAAACAATCAAAGTAGATCACACCTTCAAATAGTGTTGAGAAATGTCGTTTTAATATTAAAAATCTTTGTGATAGCCTTAAAATATATTTTCATATTTAATTATAAAATTTAAAGCTTAAAACATAGAGTAGATCGAGCAAATCTATGAAAACTTGAAAATCTTGAAAATTTACCGTAAAAAAATGCATTATAAGATGCACTATTTCTAAAACTTGAAATCCATTTTATTTCATGTACATGCATCTTGATGTATAAAAAATGTAAATTTGGTATAAAAAATTCTTTGAGAGGCTTAAGAATCTATTTCTATATTTAATTATAATTTTTTAAACTCTAAAAATAGTTCAAATCAAGTACATTTATAAACACATGAAAATTTTGAAAATGGACGGTCTGTATAATGTGTTGCAAGATACACTATTTTTAGCACATGAAATACGTTTTTCTTTTCATAATCATACATGTCGACATCGAGATAATCAATTAGAGAGTTTTCCGACGTAAAAAATACTCTTTATGATATATTTTTGGAGTGCACGTTAAATCTACATTTTAATGTTGCAACCTTACGTATTTTTTTTTAATATATTTTCTACTGAACAATAAAATGAGGGGAAAAGTTTATATAGAGCCGAGGCTCTAAACAATCAAATTTGAGCCTACCTCAAAAATTTCATTGGAAGAGGTTGTTTTGATGCTTAAATATCTTCAAATTGATTATCTCGATATAAAAGAAAAAAATGGATCTCAAGTGTTAAAAATAATGTATTTTTCAAACGCATTTTTGTACTGTCAATTTTCAAGATTTTTAAGTTTTCATAAATCTATCGATCTACACTATTTTTGAAACTTCAAAATTTAAAAATAAAAATAAAAATATATTTTAAGGCTATGAAAAAGATTTTCAATATTGAAACTACCTTTCGCAACTCTATTTAAAAGTAGGCTCTAATTTGATTGTTTAAAGCCTAAGCTCTACACAAACCGCACCCTGAAATGAGTGAGATAAAGTAGAGAGAGAAAGAGGGGCGGGTGTCCGATACTAACCAAATGTTGAGTGAGGTAAATGAGGAAAGGCAAGGGATGAAAGAATAGGAAGAGAGAGATAAAGTAGAGAGAGAAAGAGGGGTTGCTCGAGCACTGCACGTGCATAGATATATCCACGTTTGCGTTAGGATTAGGGTTTTGCGGGTTTTCTCTGAGTAAAACCATTTTTGAAAATATCCGGGTTTTCTTAGCGAGAGCCGTGGTGCTATTTGAATCACCGCTTTTCCCTGAACAAAACCCTCTCTCTCTCTAAACCCTGCTACGGCGGCTCCCTCTCTCCCCTCCCCTTGAAACCCTAAAACCCAGATCCTCACTCTCGACCCTTTTGCCTTAGGGTTTCAAGGCGTATTAGGTCGCAGGTCGCTCCATTCTAGGGTTTTTTCTGGCCTTATATTGCCTTCCTTTAGGGATTCAGGGGTGACCCGTTAACCTAAACTAGGGTTTGTATCAGGGTGCCCTAGGGTTTAAGGGGGGTTCGATTCATAACGTTTTATCTGGTGTTTAGGGTTTCTCTTAGGGTTTATAGGACTGATTTGTTCCCCTAAACTTAGGTTATTGGATTTGGGAGTTCTAGGGTTTTGGGAGTAACTCTGGTGATTCTTCTGGTTCATTAGGGTTTATCTATTGTAATTTTTTGGGTTGTGTAGTCTATTTGGCATTGGTATTCATAGGACTGATTTACTTGTTTATTATCTCCTGAAGAGCTCTTGGAGTTACTCTAGATCTTGCTCACTAGTTCGAATATGGCGGCCGTAGTTGCACCAGCTGATCGTATCCTTGAATCTGGGTATTTATTTCGTGTGGATTTGTTGGTAATTTTTTCTTTAGTTTGTATATTGATGATAATATTTTATGTGATGTCATTTTTTATTATTTGTTTGCACTAGAAGCTTTTCTGGGTTTCTAGGGTTTGATTAGGGCTCATGTCTAGATGCTATGAATAATATCTGAATTTTATACTATTTTTCGTGGTATACTGATTATTTGTATTCGAGAATTTCATGTAATTTATTTTCACCTTTTATTACATAAGCTCTGAGGTTTTTTTTTTTTTTTTTTGCTTTTTTCTCTTGATCTAGGAGTTTGAGTTACTGCTTACGTTGTACTCCTAACTAGAACAGAACTTATAGTTTCATGGAACTGTACTTGGTTATACGTTCAGATATCTTTCTGAGATTGGTTTGGTTTTCTACTTCTTATTCTGATAATTGTGCTGTTCGGGATATGTTTTTTAACCTGGGTCATAGATCTATTGAATTTTTTCACCAATTTGAAGCGCCCCTTTTATGTCATTTTTTTAAAGAAGCAAGTTGTCATGCCTGCGGTGTAAGTTCTGTAATTTACAATTCTTTGGAGCTGTCATGTAAGTTCTGAACTTTGTGATTCTGTGGAGCTTACTTTTTTTCGTTATTTGGAGTGCTTTGTTTCAATACATGTCTTGGATCTGATTCCTTGGTCTCGAAAGTATAAAACGTTATTTAATAATCTTCCTCCTTGATCTTTTGTGTTTTATGATATTATGTTAAATTATTAATATTTTATCTGTTTGAAGATAAAATGAAAATTGTGGGGGGTTGTTTTGGTTTACAAATCAGTACTTAGGGAATCATTCTTTGTGATATTGATGTTTTTTAGTTTTGTTTTCAAATTATTTTACTCGTTCCAGGGATTACTTCCGAGGCAACTCTACTGCATGTTTCTGGTCTATTGGGATGGATGCGATGAGCTTGGTGTTTTATTGATATTAGATTTATGGAATTTTTTTTATTTAGACCGAGTTACCGTGTTTACAAGTTACACAACATGAATGTCTTTGCTTCTTGTTTTCTATATTTTTTTACTGTTCAAAGCTTTTTTCTGGGGTTTTGAATGAGTTCAAAAGATTTGACTTTTTGTATTCAATTTTCGTGATTCATCGATTCTCCCCTTCAATTATTTATTTATTTATTTATTTTTAATGTCGTGTTTGGTTGAATATAGCAGTCTCAGATTTGTTTCACTGATTTGGGCATGAGAAAGAAAATGTTTTTGGTTGAGTATACCAGTCTCAGATTCACTACACTGATTTGGGCATGAGAAAGAAAGTGTTTTCTGTGACATATATTTTCCATTTAATTTTTATATGGAACTGTAATTGCGCTTTTGGTGCAGTATCTCTTGTTTGGAAATACTATTTGTTATCCTTCACCAATTTCCACTATAGAAGCAACAGAGTTATTGCAGAAATTGTCACTAGAGTCACAGGGCAAGCCAAAGGAAGTATCTGAGGCTACCAAAAAGGTACCATATGGAATCATAAATAAATTATTTGCTTGCGTACTTGCTCTGGTTGCCTATATGAGATGCTTGAGTTAAACACACAGGCACCATGTTCTTCGTGGTTTATAGAGACCATTGTGTAACCCTTAAATTTTGGTAACAGCCTTCTTCAGTCCAGTATGGTTCTGTTGATGCTCGTGACATAACCAATGTGCAGATTCCTTCCTCTGATCGTTCAACAACTCCTGTACTTCAGGAATTCATGGATCCTAACATGTGTTATCTTCCTAATGGATATGCGTCCTCATACTATTATGGAAGTAAGTATAAGTTTCAGTACAAGTATAACAAATTCTAGCTAATATGGAGAGCCCTGTTTTTCTAATGGATATATATTCTTCATTGCTGCCTTCTAACCATCTCTATTTTGACGTTTTTTCTCTATTATTTTTTAAATTTTTTGCCCATTTGTTATTTTTCACTGCCCTCAAATCTTTTTTGTTATATGTATTTTTTCTTTGGTCATTTTTTTTTTCAGCGTTTTCCTATGTTTCATGCTATGCTCACAAGTCCTTATGGCTTCAGCAAAATCTGAAATTTGGAAATAATTGTTCTTTTTATTTTCCCCTTGGATTTCCAGGTTATGAAGTTCCTATTAGTGAATGGGAGGACTATCCTAGATATGTGCACCCTGATGGAGTGGATATGCCTCCTCCTGTATGTTCTTTTTTGCACATATTATTTGGGTTGCTTTTTTCTTTTGTAGTCAATTGCTTTAATTGGTTGAATGGTATTTCAATAACATATTGTGTTCTTCTTCAGGGAGTTTATGGGGATATGTACCACCCTGGATATGCATATCCCTCTTATAGCCCGTACCCCCCTGCTGGCTCGCCTGTCCCTACTATGGGACCTGATGGTCAACTCTATGGCCCTCAACACTTTCAGTATGGTGCACCGTATTATCAGCAACCCACTCAACCCAGCGCACCTTATAACTCAAATCAAGCCCCAACAGCACATGGAGAAGTGTCTACCTCTGTTGCTCCTGATCAGGGGCCTATTCCCTTAGAGGGTTCAAATGGAAATTCAAATGCTATTCCAAACGGTACTGCTAATGGGAATAATGGTACTGGTGCTCCTAGGCCAAGTTACTCATCAGCAATGCCGAACTCCAATGGTTCTTACGCAAGGGGTATTTTGACTGGTGGTGTTACTCCTGGTTATCAGGACCCAAGATTTGCTTTTGATGGAGCAAGATCACCTGGACCTTGGTTGGATGGTCCTATTTTTCCGGAAGGACAGTCAAGACCTGCTACTAGCAACTCTGTTTCTTCAGCACTTTCCCATATTAATAGCATGTCTACTCAGAGAAACCAAAATCTTCGGCCTCTGCCCCATCTTATGGTATGCCACCATTGTCATCTGTATTATCTTGGCTTTTGGTGTTCTTTGGTAATTTTCATGTTATGGTTATTGAGTCCACTTCTTGTAAGATGCTCTACTCATCTGTTGATCTCACTCTCTCTTCATGGTTTTATTTCTATCTTGTTTTGCATGTATGTGCACATGTCCTAGGTGAGACTGTGTATTCGTGTGTGTGCACACACTGTTTACTAAATTACTCTATTTGGGTTTATGTATCAATTGATTTCATGTTGAATTGGATTTGGACACTCTCCTGAAGGGCTCCCTAATGTGCACAATGATATGAACATGTGACACAGAAAGCTATGTTCCTTGTAGACATTATGTGAAGAGTTGATGTGGGTTGATTTTTTTTTAATATGAAGTTGGTGTGGGTTGATTCTTCTCATAGCAATGTTTTCGTCTTAGAAAAAGGGTGTGGTGTGTATTGTAAGTTTATTAATCTATGTTTTTGTGGCTCAATTTCAGGGCTTGCATCATCCGAGACCGGCTTCTGGCATGGCTCCAACTCCTGCCTTCATGAACAGGATCTACCCAAACAACAGAATGTACCACCATGGTAGCTCAGTGAGAACAAATGGTGGTTTTGGATCCAGTGGGTATGATTCAAGATCCAATGGACGGGGATGGGTGGCTGTCGATAACAAGTACAAAACAAGGGGCCGAGGAAATGGATCCTTATATGGTAATGAAAACATGGATGTGTTGAATGAGCAAAATAGAGGTCCAAGAGCTGCTCGTTTCAAGAACCAAAGAGGTCTCCAAGCAAACATTACATTAGCTGTGAAAGGACAGAATCTCCTTTCCAATGCCAATAATGAGGATGTAAGCACAATCCCAAACAAAGATCAGTACAATCGACCAGACTTTGTTACGAAGTACTCAGATGCCAAGTTCTTTATAATCAAGTCATACAGTGAGGATGATATTCACAAGAGTATCAAATACAGCGTATGGGCTAGCACACCCAATGGGAACAAGAAATTGGATGCTGCATACAAAGAAGCTCAGGAGAAAACTGGGGGCTGCCCTGTGTTCCTCTTTTTCTCGGTGGGACCTTGGTGCTATCTTCTTTAATTTTTGTATATTTCATAATTTTGTTTTCTTATAATTCTTTGAGGTGTCTATTGGGGCTAGCAGCCGTGGTTGAACATTTTCTCCTGATTTTGTTGGCTCATTTAATGGCCTATTCCTTTTACAAATTTTTTGAGAATATATTCCTTTTACAAATTGTCTCCAGAATTTATTGGAAATGCCTATGTTTGGCTTTTTTGCTATTTGAATGGTTTTCTCGGTTTTTTTCTTTAAATCTATCTTTGACGAATGTGTTCAAGCTATAGCTCGATTGGGTTGCGCCTTATGTTGCAATCCTTGGAGAGTATGAAAATTATTGACCAGGGCTTATTTTTGTATTTGTTTTATGCATTTTCAGGTAAATGCGAGCGGGCAATTTCTTGGAGTTGCAGAAATGGTGGGTCCAGTTGATTTCAACAAGAATGTCGAGTTTTGGCAGCAAGACAAGTGGAACGGTTGTTTCCCTGTAAAGTGGCATGTTGTGAAGGATGTCCCGAACAATCAGTTGAAGCACATCATCCTTGAGAACAATGATAATAAACCAGTGACAAACAGTAGGGACACTCAAGAGGTAGGCTATACTATCCCTCTCTCTATATGCTCTCCATCTCTCATTTTGCTCTCTCTATGCATGTGTGCCTCCTCAAACAATACTTCAATTTGTTTTCTTTTTCTAATAAAAATGAGAAAACCTTCATTTTGTTTATTCATGTTCCTTACAAAGTTGGTATGGCAATTTCTGGGTGTAATGTTTCTTTTAGAGGATTTTCTTGTAAATGACGTCGAATTTGAGTGCTTTCTCTTTCCTTGTTTATTGGCCAATGTACTTTAATGAATTTAATTTGAGTACTTACCTCGTTTTTTTTTCTTATCTGAGGTTTCCCAAATGCTTGTCTTTGTTTGGACCTGACAAAACAAGTTTTAAACGCCTTTGAAATGGTATAAATTTCTTGATCAAAAGCTTCTCAAATTTTCTTCTGCAGGTGAAGTTTGACCAAGGGATTGAGATCCTCAAAATTTTCAAGGAGTATGGCTTTAGGTCATCTATGCTTGATGATTTTGTGTACTATGATGGACGTCAGAAAGCCATTCAAGAGAAACGAGCCAAGCAGCAGCAGTTGCAGAAGCAGGTATAGTTTTCTTCTCTGTCATTTAGCCTTTTGAAAATTATCACTACGAAGCTTCTACTCGGAGTAGGGATTTTTTTTTTCAATTTAATGGATTTCAGGCATGCTTATGTGTGCTTTTTAGAGTTCTTTTTCTTTTGGGGGGGTGGGCGGTGGCAATTACCCTATGTCTTAGGCACAGCTTGTTGGACCCATATTTTTGACAAACAGATATTTCATCTGTGGTACCACTGTCCTGGATAGGCCACCAAAAGTGGAGATTGGCTTCCTACACTTGGTGCATGGGATTGGGACTGATGATCTTTTCCTTCTAATATGTGTTGAAAACACGTGTATTTTTAATAGTAGAACATTTGTTGTTGAATGCAAGTGCCACTTCTGTTGGGTTTTAGGCATCTCTCTTTGGTGATTGACATAGGAATTTTTAAGTTAGACCTCAGCTTCTTGTGTTCTTGAAACTGTCTCAGTTGTCCTTGAGAGGATGTTATGGGAAATTGAGATATAGCGTAATTCCTCCCTCTCTCTCCTTCTAGTGCAATGTAAGAAAATGGGATTTAGATGAAATTGTTGCTAACATATGTTCTGTTTCGGAATGAAAAGGCTGGCGAGGGTGGTGCTGATGACGAGGAAGGTCAGAGGCCAAAGCAACCGAAGGCCACTGATGTCACTTCAAAGGATTCTGCCCCTGTTCTTGTGGACCGCAAGCCTGCCGAAGAAAATGGAGTAGGAAATGGAGACGTCCCAAAGGGAGCTAGTAAGCCATCATCGACCATTGAAAAGAAAGCTTCTGATGCATCAGCAAATGGTTGTTGATTTTGTCGTTATTTGGCGCTAGGTTTTCTCAGAGATTGCCGTTAGAATTCAGAACAGGTCAAGGCCCAATGTTCCGAAGAGCCGAATCTTCGAGCAATAAAAGAGAGGGGTCATGGTCCTTGCTAGAACTGGTAAGCTAGTTTTTTTCAAAGCTTTCGCAGGGTTTGCTATATTCAGTTCTTGTTCAGTCGCTATCAGCTTCTTTTGACCCGAGTTTTTTGCATTTATTCCTTTTTAGAGTGAGATACTCTTGGATTTCTAGTTGTTTGTCTCTAAAAGAGTCTTTAGGGGCGTTGACTTAGTTTTGTTTTGTCTCTCTTTATTTTTCCATTTCTTCTTGTCTTTTCATTTTGTTTTTTTTCCTTCTCCCTTGTAAATGTAGTGGGTTCCTAAGCTTTTGTACCCTCAAAGGACGACCAGGTGAAGTATTGGCCAATAGAGAAAAAAGGTTTTGGGTTATATCTTAGGGGTTGATTCTGAGGATACTCTATTTAATTTGCAATTATAGCTTGTTTTCATTTGCATTGGGCATCTTTAACCAGGCTTTTGTTCTTAAGATCATTCGATGCGGCACCTATTTTTTTGTTTAGTCAGGCAGTGTTGAATCCGATCCCTGCCGACTGCAAGTACATACATTCGATGAGTTATTGTGTTGTGAAGTTGAAAGAACTTGGGCTAGGTTTTCAATTTTTTTTTTTTTTTGTTGGGAGTTAAGCAAGGGACTATGTAGTAGGGATTTGTGCCCACCGTATCACCACTCACTTATTGAAAGTACATTTTTACTATGCTAGAGTTCCACAAAAATTTTATCAAACCAGACATACATACTGAGATTTCTTTTGTAGGCGAGTTGAATTGGTTAGCCTCGGTTTTTGGAGTGTGGATTGTATAAGGTTGAGGCTCTAAACAATTAGAATAAGGCATGTCTTGACGAAAGATGAATTTTTCAGTTTAAATTTTTTCGTGATGGCTTGAAAATAGATTTTCATCTCTAATTATAAAATTTAAATATTTAAAAAATATTGTAGATCGTGCGGATAAGTTTTATGAACACAAAATAAAAACCCTCCATTCAGCGATAGAAATATCTATGATGGTTCTAAAATAAATTTTGAGGACAGATAATAAAATTTGAAACTAAAAAAATGGTGCAGTTCTTATGGATTTTTTAAGTTTATATTTTAAGTTAAATATACGGTTTAGATGATAAGGATTATAAGTTGTAATATGCATTAAAGATATGGTCTATATTTTTTTTTTGTTTTTGTTTTTGACGACTATGAAGTTCAAGTTGAGATGAACGATATAAAGGTTTTTCAATGCTGAGTTATGAGGTGATGATTTAGTTATTTTGATGGGCTTTAGCTCTATCAATCCATTTTCCTTTTGAAAATACTTAAAATTGATGGCCTAAATAATATATGGGAAAGTATATTATGAGATCCTTTATCTTTGGTTTAAGGTGACCACATTAATTTTGACCTTTGGATGTGAGTTTTGGTGGATGCAATTATTCACTTCAATTTTTTTAAAATTTTTTTTTGAGGCACATCTAACCTATTAAATTTCAAATCAGATGGTTGTAACTAATTATGATCATTTTGTTTTAAAAGTAAACAGATTTAATTTGATTGTTTATGTGCTAATCCTTATATATAAACATCTGCCATTCTATTTATTTGTATAGAGAGAGTTAGAGAGCATGGGTCTCCAATTACCTGTGAATCACTTGAATTGAGTGGTTTAAATGTTAAGAGGACTAAGTATTCTATGGCGGGTGTGGCGTATGGGGAATGCATGCCTTCTTTTGGCTACCTGGATCTCCGCCAACATCTTTTACTTTGAGGCCCAACAAACTGCCTTTTGTTCGCCTTGCACTTGCGCATATCAAAATATTGAATCATGGATTTTATGGATAATTTTTTCTTCGTTAATATCTTTTTTTTATTTTTGAGAGAAGGTATATTTAGATAGTTCTAATAGGTGATAAGATAAGGGTAAGTAGATTTAGTTGAGGTGAGGGTAAATAGATTTAGTTGGGTTAGTAGTGAACAACAAAGATTAAGTACAACACCTATTAAGATGAGAGTAAGTAGATTTAGTTGAGATAAGGGTAAATAGATTTAGTTGGGTTAGCCGTGTACAACAAAGATCCAGTAGAACTCCTATTAAGATAAGAGTAAATAGATTTATCCAGCACAACACCTATTAAGATAAGAGTAAGTAGATTTAGTTGGGTTAGCCATGTACAACAAAATTCCAATACAACACCTATTAGGAAGTGCTAATTGGTTTAAGTGGAAGGCTAAAAAGAAAGGAGTAGGTCTAGAAAGATATGGTGGGAAGTCGTGAGAAAAAATATAGAGATTTATAGCCTCACTAAGGGTATAATTTTTGATAGAACAGAATGACGGACCTGGATTTGTATTGCTAACCCAAATAGTTATTAATAGTTACAATATTGCTGACCCCAGATAGTTATTAATAGTTACAAAAACTTTATGATGAAGTTGACGATAATGGTGGCGATCTCTTAATTTTTTGAGGAACTAAAAAATTAGTTTTAATATTTCACAATCATGATTATATTGTGCCTTTTTTTAGTTTTTTCTATTTTTCACAAATATCCTTGGTTCAGAACTTCAGTTCCAAACTGGAGTATTTGGCCAAGATATTGGTTCTGAACTTGAAGTTCGGAATTGCTCCCTTTGAACTGCTCATTCACGAAGTCGGTTTAGTTCAAAGATCAAGCTGCAAAGGGAGTGATATCTTTTATTTAAGGTGAATGAAGCAGTTGGAAACTCGAAGTTCCAAACCAACCATGCAAAAGTTCAAAGAATACCTCGGCGATCATATTCTCTTTTCAATGGGATATCTTTTATTTAAGGTGAATGAAGCAGTTGGAAGCTTGAAGTTCCAAACCAACCATGCAAAAAAGTTCAAAGAATCCCTCTGCTATCATATTCTCTTTTCAATGTTCTCTTTTCAATGGGTAACTTTACCTGACATGAATCGAAAACATCTCTCTCTACGTGACATGAATCGAAGACATCTCTCTCTACGTGACATGAATCGATTACATCTTCTCCCTGCAATCATATTCTCTTTTCAAGGGGTAATTACGTGACATGAATCGAAGACATCTATCTCTACCTGACATGAATCGAAGACATCGTTTCTCTGCAATCATATTCTCTTTTCAATGGGTAATTTTACCTGACATGAATGGAAGACATCTCTCTCTGCAATCTGGTTCTCCACTCGACGCGAGTAGACTTAATATCATATTCTCTTTTCAATGGGTAATTTTACCTGACACGAATCGAAGACGTCTCTCTCTGCAATCTGGTTCTCCACTCGGCGCGAGTAGACTTAATATCATATTCTCTTTTCAATGGGTAATTTTACCTGACATGAATCGAAGACATCTCTCTCTGCAATCTGGTTCTCCACTAGGCGCAAGTAGACTCAATATCATATTCTCTTTTCAATGGGTAATTTACCTGACATGAATCGAAGACATCTCTCTCTGCAATCTGGTTTTCCACTCGGCGCGAGTAGACTCAATATCATATTCTCTTTTCAATGGGTAAATTTACCTGACATGAATCGAAGACATCTCTCTCTGCAGTCTGGTTCTCCACTCGGAGTGGAGTAGACTCAATATCATATTCTCTTTTCAATGGGTATTTTACCTGACATGAATCGAAGACATCTCTCTCCGCAATCTGGTTCTCCACTCCACGAGTAGACTCAATAAGTGAGTGTATGTGTTAAAGAATCTCTCTGACATGAACCGAAGTCCTCTCTCTCTCTGCCTGCCCTATCAGGTTTAGACTCAATAAGTGAGTGTATGTGTTAAAGAATCTCTCTCTGACATGAACCGAAGTCCTCTCTCTCTCTGCCTGCCCTATCAGGTTTAGACTCAATAAGTGAGTGTATGTGTTAAAGAATCTCTCTCTGACATGAACCGAAGTCCTCTCTCTCTCTGCCTGCCCTATCAGGTTCTCCACCACGCGAGTCGACTCGCAATGTGTGTGTGTTAACATTGGTCTCTCTCTGACTCTCCTTCTTCTTTTTTTCTCTCTGAGATGAACCGAAGTCCTCTCTCTCTCTGCTTCCCTATCGGGTTCTCAACCACACGAGTCTGACTTGCAATGTGTGTGTTAACATTGGTCTCTCTCTGACTCTCCCTTGCCTTTTTTTTTTTTTTTGAAGTGCAAACGATGAGAATGGAGCCTAGTTTGTTATGTTTGGGCTCCTCTCAGTCTAACCACCAGTGCCCCAGCCCCATTCCCTAAAATTACTCTTCCTTCTTCATGTTAACCCGTTTCACTTGAATAGAACTACTTATTTCTTTCTTTCCGTTTTACCGTTGTGTCCATTTGATTTAAGTGGTCCCTATTTCTTTATGTAGTGAACGCCACCTCTTATTACCGTTTTCGTCTACTTTCTTTATTCCATGGGTCCCAATATCTCAATGCAATGAACACAAAGAGTTAAGGTTTTTTTGGTATGATCAGTACATCTCTCTCTCTCTCTCGTTATGTTTGTTTTTTTTGCCATCATTAATACACATAACTGTCTTTCACTTGTCTCTCTAGTGTGTTTCTGTGCTAGATATTTTACTCTTTCGAAAGTATACTGTTCTTTTACTCATTCAGATAAAATTTCACCTAGGATTAGTTTTAGGATCCCAAATTTTGGAGTATAACCTTTTTAACCCGTAGATTAATCTCAATTTAAAAAAAAATAAGCAAAAAGGATGTGGTTAGCATGTGGGCCAAGCCCACACATGTAGAAATGTAAGCCCTTTAAAAAATCTATTTTTAAGATGGTTTTTTGGATTTAATATTTAAAGATATGTAATCTCTAACATGGAAATCATGAATATAAAAAAAATAAATTTTAAGAATTAGAAATAATAATTCTATTAAAAAAACATTTCAGACGGTTAGTTTCAATTGTTTTTAGATGGACCCCATATTTGTATACATGCTTTATACATGTGGATGGCACCGAAGAGAAAACAATTTGCATCCATCTTTTATTTTTGAGAATAGTCGCATTTTATCATTCTAAGGTGATTCAACAAAAACTCGGATTGAAAAAACCCTCCCAGGTAAGATCATTTGACCGAGGGAGTAGAAATAAACCAGCGGCATAGTCCACATGCTCATATATCTCAACACTTGTGTTCCCATGAAAATTTGAGGTCTAGATCCAGTGTTCAGATCTTCACAAGCAAAGTGTGGAACCTAGAAGTAGCAACTCCTTTCTTTCATAGAAAAGCTTAAGCTTAGTCTCTCTCTTTGAGGTGCTACACCATGAATTGTCCTTTTCCCCCTCTCCTTTTTCTTTAGGGTTCTTCCTCTCACTAGTCTTTCATGTGGTGGAGGATATGGTTATGTAGGACAGCTGTAAGCTGTATTTTTGCATTGGAGGGGTGAAAAAGTTTTGAGACAAATATATATATATATATATATTTAATTCCAGGCCCACGTTTTCTTCTTCTCATTTACTATTTTGCAAACTCTAAAGCAAAGGATCATGAAATTCAAACTAAATCTAAAATTACCAAAGTACCCAAGTGGCACAATTCTCTTGTAATTTGGTGAACAGTCATTTGTGCTCCACCACTTTTGTCCTAAAATTTGGTGGCTTCCTATGTTTGATAAATGAGAGCAACTTGGAAAATGAGAGAAATCAAACCGAAATCCCCAATTCGTAAATACGAAAGTGAGGGAGGGGAAAGCTAAAAGGAAACCGAAATCCCTTATTAGTAAAATGGGCATGAGAGAAAGAGAGCTAAAAAGTAAACCGAAATTCCCTATTAGTTAGTAAATGAGCATGAGAGAGATAAAAGCAAACCGACATTCCTCATTATTAGTAAAGATAAATGTTTATATACTTCTTCTATTGTATCGAATATATATATAGTTCCTCCCCTCTAACCGTTCAATTTTGACTGAGAGAGCCACTGATTGTTTAATCTAGAACTTGACGCTTCCGAGTAATTTAGTTTTGATATTTTTCTACAAATTATATGAATCTGAAATTTAGTATGTTCCATCATCTAAATGGGGCACATCTAAAAAAACATTATAACTTTTTTAGTAAAATAAAATGATTAAAATATCCTTGAAACTTTGATGGTCACTTTTGTTATTTTATTTTATTGAGCATATGTTTTTTCTATTTTTTTACATGTGCAAGTTTAAGAGAAGAGTGGACACCCAATATTTAGTGTCAAAATTGTTTGTAAAAAACATTTAAAAATAAAAATATGGACATGTGATATTGTGATTGGGGTCATCTCAAATGTCCATTCAGAATCAACCGTTGGATAGGAAGAAATATAGGAGAAATATAAAAAGCTTGTCCATTGGGAAATGGATATAATGAGATATTAGTCTGAAATCCTGAATCAGTGGATAGGCTTGAGAGTACCGTAATCCCCAATCATTGAATAAGAGAGAGACAACTAAAATTAAACTGAAATCCCTAGTCACTGAATAGGAGAGGGAGAGAGAACTAAAAATTAAACTGATATCCCTTATCACTTAATAGGAGAGAGAGAGAGAGAGAGAGAGAGAGACCAAATGAATTCGAGGGTGAGAGAGAGAGAGAGAGAGAGAGAGAGAGAGAGACAATAG